GATCATAGCATGACTGAAGGTGTGACTTTTTAAATGAGTTTGTATTTTACCTTCATTTACATTCTAGAGTTACATTTAACTGTAAACCTTCAAGAGACATAGAAGCATACAAAAGAGAAACAAAATCTTCCAATGCCCTGGCTGGAGTGTAAACTGGTGCAGTTACTTTGGAAAATCACTTGGCGCAACGTCTGCTAAAGCTGAACAAATGCTGGCCCTGTGGCCCAGCAATTCCACTCCTAGGTATATTTCAGAGAGACCTGGGTACAAATGTTCATAAGGCCATGCACTGAAGTAATTATAGCAGCATTATTCTTAATAGCTCCAAACCGTGAAAAAAATCAAATGCCCATCAACAGTACAATGGATAAATAGAGTGTGGTATAGTCATACAGTGGAATATCACATAGCACTGGTGGTAAGCCATCTACAACCATATACAATAATGTGGGTGGATCTCATCCAATCAACATAATATTGAACAGAAGAAACCAGCCCCCTACCCCAAAGGCCATGCTCTGTATATAAAGTTCAAAACCAGGCAAAACTAATGTCTGGCATTAGAGATCAGAATAATGGCTACCCTTGTGGAGCAAGATAGAGACTGGAAGGGGGTGCACGAGTGGGCTTCAGGGATCCTAGTAATGTTGGTTCTTCGTCTGGGGGCAGGTACATGGGTATGTTTAGTTTGTAAAAATTCATCATGCTATACACTTAAGGTTTGTACACTTTTCTGTATACATCTTATACTTAGATTAAAAAGTTACCAAAAATGATCTTCCACACACCTGTAACAACCTTTCTCACTACAGTTATTCCCTATTAACAGTTTGGTTCATATCCTCCCAGATTTTTCTGTGCCTATGCATAAATACAAAGAAGATATGCATTATATAATATTACATATATATTGGGTTGTCAGAAAAGTCATGACACATTTTTGCGACAAAAAACATAGAAAAAATGTCATGATTTCTCCAACAACCCAATATTATATATAAGCTACCTATAACTTTACAAAAAATGGCATAATATTATACATACTGTCCAACAACATGCTTTTTTAACTTCACAGTGTGCTGATGCAATCTTCTATGTCACTGTATACTAGACCTAGCTGATTCTTTTTTAATGGTTGTACAGTATTTTACTGTGGGATGTGTCATTTTGTAAACCAGTCCCCTGTTGATGGACAGTAAATTCCAGCATTTCATTTGTGTAAACGATACTGTGGGGAACCTCTTCATGTGTATCTCTGTGTACTTTCGTGTAGAATGAATTGGGAGGGGTAGACTATCTTGGCCTGAAGTGGTAATTTAAGATAGTTCATCTGTTAGTGGGTGGGAAACAGGGAGGCCAGTTAGGAGGCTATTAAAATAGTTTAGATTTGAGATAATGAGGGTGGTTGGCGGTGAAAATGGACAAGAAGGGAGAGATAGAAGAGATATTAAGGGGGCCGGCTGAGTGGCGCGTTGGTTAAGAGCTGGCTTGGGACGCCAGAGGACCCCGGTTCGGATCCCACATATGAGTGCCAGTGACACTGCCCTCTACAGCTAAGATGCTGAACAACAGCTCAACCTGGAGTCGCCTGCGAGGCGTAGGCTGTGGCCCCTGCTGCAGTGGGTTGCCATGGGCTACCGTATGTAGCCAGCAGCCAGCATGAGCGGCCAGCAGCCGCCGTGAGCGGCCGTCCAGAAGCCAGTGACTGATCTGCCTCACCCGGGAAGAGCGCAATGATGGTGCCAACTTGGGCCAGTGAAGCAACGTCCTCCACAACTAGACTGAAGACCAAAAGGACAGCAACTTGTCTGTTCCCCTTCCCCCAATTCCCCAGCACTGTTCCCATCCCCCAATTCCCCAATAAAAATCTTAAAAAATATATATATATTAAGGGCAAAGACTTGCTGTAGCTTGGCATCTGGTGGGAGAAGGAAAAAAGTCAGAGAGCTCTTTGAGGGTCTGAGTCTGGGTGGCTGGATGGTTGGGAACATACATTAGAAGGAGCTCATCCAAACTCCATTGATTTGTACATCACAGTGGCCAGCCATAATCGGTACCCAAAGTTGACAGGACTCCAACTCTGGGGCTCTCCAGTGGAGTGTTAGGATAACCATGGGTGATGAAGCCTCTTATCAATGGAGGCCAGACTTAGGGTTTAACATCTTTATGAGGGCTTCTCCCTGAACAGGAGGGCACTCCATAGATGCTTCTTAAGGGAAGGAAGAAGGTGCCACCCTTCAGGGGCCGGGGACTGAGACGAGGCCCTTGTGCGTGGTCGTGAGCAGTCATTGGAGACTGCTTTAGTAAGCCGTGTGAACGCAGCGGCGGAGTGGAAGCCACGCTAAGGCGAGAGTGCGTGGTTGGCGACATGGTGGGAGAGGCTGTTCTCTGAAGTGCGCTGGTTGAAGGGGGTGGTGGAAGAAGTGAAGCCTGGAGCAAGCTGGCAGGAGGAATGAAAGAGCCAGAAGACGCAGAGGTGGCAGATTCAGGGTCCAGAGAAGACCAGTGGTGGGAGGAGTTACCGGTGAGGACGGGAGGAGGTGGGAGGGCAAGAACAGATGGCAGATGGGCTTTGGCAAGGAGAAGGGTCACCCCTTCCTCTCAGAGAGGAGGGGGCGGGAGGGCTGAGGGGCAGGTTGGAAGGTCTGAGGATGGTGAAATTTGGAGTGAGAAAGAGCAAGACAAAGAAACACGTCTTCTCAGTCAAATAGGAGAAAGGTCATCTGTTGGGATGGATGGGGCGGGGCGGGGAGTGGGAACGCACTGGGAAAGTCACTTTGGGGACCGTGACTGCGTGAGCAAGAGATGGCCAATGGAAAGGTTAGATGGCTGAGGTTAGATGGTGGACCTTGTTGGTGTGGTTGGGTCCCCAGACTGGGAACTCATGAGGTGGGGAAGGTGTTATGTCAGAGGGAACATGAAAGACAGCTGGCGTGGGCAGATTTGGGAGGTACTGAGAGGTCTTTCTCTGCAGCAGCTGTGGCTACTTTTGTTTGGCACCTACTATGTGCCAGGTACTGTGGTGGATGTACTGTCATTTAACCCCCTCAACAGCTCTGTGGGGTAGGTCCTGCCCAACTTGCTCAAGGTCAGCTTGCCTGGGACTCTGCCTGGGCTGTGCGATTGCAAAGCCAGGCTCACCTGGGTGAATCCATACCTGTGCTGGGGCCCAAATAGAGGACAGGATGTGGAATGTTGTGGGGCTGTTGCGTGGCACACAGGTGTGAAGCCCACCTCTCCAAACCTCCTCCTCAGTCTCAGCGGGGACCGAGTTGTCATGTTTTGGTCCTCCGTCTTCCTGGAGAAATAAATCAGATCCTGGTGGGTGGGGACGAGCTGGCGTGGAGCTCCAGAGCAGTGCTCAGTGGGGAGGTAAACATCCCAGGCAGGCGTCTGCAGCCTGCCTGCGGGTGCTGGTCGTGGGTCCGGTGAGGAGGGGGTGCTTGTCCCCTGACATATGTGCTTGTGCGTATCTGTGAGTTTTTGAGTGATCACGTGTGTGCGGAATGTTTGCTGTGCCTCTATACTTGCTATACACCAAGAAATATATGAGTAGGCTGCAGATAGAAATTAGGGAAAGAACAAATAGTGAAGTGACGGGAACACAGACATAAGGACCACATACATTCTGCCACGTGTTCAGAAACACTCAGGGTGACATACCCAGAAGTACAGAGTCAGTTTCTCCCTGTGCTTTTTTGAGTGGGTTGGCACATCCTTCGTCTATAGATATGCATCTCTGCATGTGACTGGCCTCAGAAACACAGCATGATAGGTCTGTGGACACTCAGACCTACATAAACACACTCTGTGTCTTTGCACGTGTGTTCCTGGGTACGTGTGCATATGTTACTGTGCGTTTTTCTGAGTATGTGGGCGCCTGTGTCTGAATAGCGCAGACACATGTGAGAGACACGCACTCTGAGAAACACAGCATCTGTGTGTGTGTGTGTGTGTGTGTGTGTGTTTGTTTGTGTCTTAAAGTCAGGAGGAAGGGGACACCATCGTTGAGCTGGGAGGCCAGTGGAAGATGTCCTGGCCTCACTCTGTCCCCTGGCATGCGACATGCAGACCCAGCTCTTCTGTCTTCTTGCCAAGAAGGATGAAGGGGTTTGGGTGGCACTGCTCTCCCCCAGGTCCAGGAAGGTCTTGGATAGGATGACTTAATCACAGAGTAGAAGTGCAGGAGTGAGCTGCTGTGCGGGAGGCGTTGTTCAAGGGGAGGAAATAGCAAGGGCAGAGGGAGGGCCATTTGTCCTCACAAAAATCTTGTTGTTTGGCCATTTTACAGTTGGGGAAACCGAGGCACAGCGAAGCTGAGTGATTCTCCCAAAGTCTCACAGCCAGTGAGAAAGAGACCCAGGATTTGAGCCTAGGATGCCTGATCTCATAGCCCATGGTCTAAATCAGCAGTCCTCAAAATCAGGGGTGACTTTTGCCCCCGGGGGATGTTTGGCAATGTCTGGAGACATTTTTGATGGCCACAGCTGGACGGGAAGGTGCTATTAGCATTTACTGGGTAGAGGCCAGGGGTACCGTCAGACCTTCTACAATGCACAGGATGCCCCAACAACAAAGCAATATCTCATCCAAGCTGCCAGTTGTGCTGGGGTTGAGAAACCCAGGTCCAAATCCATGCAAAGCACTTAAAGAGAATATGACACATAGTAGGTGCTCAATAAATAGTAGCTGGTGAGGGGGAGAAGTGATTTGGAGGAGGTTGCAGCAGAGAAGTGAATTCAAGTGGAGAGAAACGGTACATGTAAATGAACCTGTCAGTTAAGAGAACTCACGGGCTACTGTTTGGGGTGGGTGACAAGGACAGGCTGTCCTGAGGAGGGTGGGTGCAGGTGAGACCTGTGGGGGGAAGAGGTTGATGGACTGGGGATGGGGCCAAAGCTGGTCAGCCACCAGCCACTGAAATCCTAACCAGATGTCTCGCCTCTCTGTCCCTCCCGCCCCGTGTCTCTCTCCCCACTGCTCTTGGCCTCTCTGCCCAGAAGGGGACAGCCGGAGGCTGAAGGGAGCCATCCAGAGGAGCACAGAGACGGGCCTGGCGGTAGAGATGCCCAGCCGGACCCTGCGCCAGGCCAGCCATGAGTCCATTGAGGACAGCATGAACAGCTACGGCTCGGAGGGCAAGTGAGTGTGGGGCCCGGCCAGCCCGCTGGCCATCCTGGCCCTCGGTCTTCTCTCGCGTGGGGCGGGAGGGCCTTAGGCTGGGAGGGGCCCTGGCTCAGGGCTCCTGGGCCATCCCATCTTCAGGAGGGAGGTGATGGAGCAAGGAGCCTCTGAGGACGAGTGAGGGGAGCCAGACTTTGGTGACTGACTGCTTAGATTTGAATCCTGGCTCCATGGCTCGCCAGCTGTGTGACCTTGGTCCAATCACCTCTCTGTGCCTCAGTTTCCTCACCTGTGAAATGAGGGTACTACTAATCTCATAGCGGTATTATGAAGGTTAAATGGGTTAGCTTTTATAAAGAGCTAGGACAGTGCTCAGCCTTGCTCCCCCCCATTTCGGGCCCTGCCTTGCCGCTGGGGGCTTCTGCTGCCTGAAAGCTGTCCCACCCCCAGCAGCTCCTAAACTGGCCATCTCCGGCCTCTGTGAATGGCCTTGCTTGGCAGATGCTGCCGTTCCACCCACCTCTTAGGGAGACTTTCCGGAGGACGAGAAGAGGAGGAGGACAGGCGGACGGGAGAGGAGGAGGAGGAAGGGAACAAATGTTTTCTTTAACCTGAGAAGCTTGGCAAGGCAGCAAAACTTGGAGGAAGATATTCTGGGCACCTAGATAGCCGTGGGTCCCTGCTGAGTTTCAGAGGGTCAGGAGGTTTGAGTCCTAGTCCTGGCTCTGCCACTGACCCCCGAGTGACCTTGGGCATGTTCCTTGGTCTGCTTAAGCTCCGGGAGGCCAGCACATATCTCATCTGTAGGCTTCCAAGCAGGTTGGAGGACCAGGTCACGGGAGGGCAGCATGGTGCCGTGAGCAGCCACAGGAAGTCAAACCCACATTTCCATTTTATAGAACAGGAGATAAAGGCTCAGAGACGCCACACAGCTTCCTCCAAGGAGAACAGCATAGGAGGGTTTTGTGAAGAAGAAATGAGATGATGCCTGCATGGCAGGTGCTTGGGAGGTGGCTGTTGTTGTCACTTGTTATCATGTGTTTTAAGGACCCAGAGAGACTGCTTACATTACAGAGAAGTTCAAACCCAGAACTCGAGTCCGACAACCTTGGCTTGTACCTCATTTCTGCTTCTTAGTAGCTGTGTGACTTTGGGGGAAGTTACTTGTCTTCTCTGAGTCCAGTTTCTTCACCTACAGAAAGAGGACAATAGTACGGACCACTAATAAAGCTGTTGTGAGGGTTAAATGAGTTAATGTACTCTTATGTGACAGCACTTAGAACAGTGACTGGCACCCAGCAAGCGGTATTTATGATTCCCTATGATGATTGTTGTCTGTGGTTGACTCAGCCGCTGTTAGTTGGGTATTTCACTCCTTGAGGCCAGTTGCATCCTAACGGATACAGTGAGCCCCCCAAATACAATCGTGTCTATATAAGTGCTTAGCACAGAGTAAACCCGGAATAAGTATTAGCTGTGATGATTATGATTACTAGAAGGCTGTGGGTGGGTGTCTTGAGCCCAAGTGAGGAAGGATAGGGTGGGTCGGAGGGTGTGTGGTCCAGCAGGAGGCAGTTTTTCCCCCGAGGGGCTGAGCCCAGACAGGTGCTGCCACCCTGCCCAACATCTGGCCGAGGAAGGGAAGGTGAAGGGACAGGTAGCGACCTTGAGCTGTGGTCGGCCTCCCCCTTGTTCTGGAGGTATTTTTGGCACTGGCAGGACTCAGATGCCAAGCTCTGAAGCAGGAGGGGGTGTGACCATCCTCCTTCTGGGCTCCTGCCAGCCCAGCTGCGGCTGATAGGAAGCCAGCATGCCTGAGCGGGAGCCCCCCAAGCCTGTGGCCCTGGGCGCTTCCAGGTCTGTCTGCCGCAGGCACTGGATCACCACCGGGCATGTGTATTCCTGCAAGTGGGCACAGGGCTGCTCCCATGCGGCGCTTCACCTCAGCAAATGGCATCGAGCACCTACGGTGTGTCAGACCATTGAGGCGGGCGCCTCCGGGACCCTGCCTTCTTCTGACCAAGTAACTAGCAGTGTGGTGAGAGCTGCCAAATGCCGAAGAGAACTTTGGGAAGGCTGCGTCCCCCTCAGGTCTTGGCGCACGTGGGTTGGGCCATCCTATGAGTGAAGATCTGTGGGCTCCAGGTTACACGGTACCAGCGAACAGTGGCTTCAGCTCTCGCTCTTCGAGGAGTGGTCCACAGCCGAGCAGCAGCAGCAGCAGCAACAGCAGCCTCCTCCGGAGCTTGGGAGACACACAGACCCACTGATGAGAATCTGCATTTTAGTGAGGTCCCCAGGTGGTTCGTGTGTACAATGAGATTGAGCAGCCCTGGCTTCACAGTGATGATGTCCAAGAGCAGCGGTTCTCAACCTTCCTAATGCCGCGACCCCTTAACACAGTTCCTCATGTTGTGGGGACCCCCAACCATAAAATTGTTTTCGTTGCTACTCTATAACTGTAATTTTGCTACTGTTATGAATCATAATGCAAATATCTGTTTGTTTTCCGATGGTCTTTGGCGACCCCTGTGAAAGGGTCATTTGACCCTCAAAGGGGTCGTGACCCACAGGTTGAGAACCGCTGTCCTAGAGTAACACGTAGAGAGCGTGGGCTGTGTGTTCAGTGCCTTTAAGATGTTGACTCCTTTAATTCTCGTGACAGCCTGAAGATGCTGGGACTGTTCATATCCCCGTTTTACAGACAAGAAAACGGAAGCCGAGAGAGGTTAATTAGCTTGCCCAAGGTCATACAGCCAGTTACATGGCTCCAAATGCTGCGATTCAAATTCAGATGTTTGGAGTCTGCCCTTAACGATTGCCCTTGACTCTTTTCCCTCATATAATGGCTGCATCTATCAAGATTCCTGGAAGGGCCCCAAGCCGCTCCATCTTCTCCCTCTGCAGACCTCAGCATGTTGGACTGATTCTGGTTTATCTGCTGAAGCTGGAGAAGGGCTTTCTTCCTCTGATCCCCTTTCTGCCTAATTGAAAATTGAGGTTCAGTGAGTCACGGTTGGAAAGGAACAGCACTGGGTTTGGCAACCAGCCAAACTCCCCTCCACCAGCAGGTCCATCTCCCCTAGACAAAGGGCCAGGGGTTCAAGCCTCCTGAGAAAGGGCCATGAGAACAGCACTTCCCCGGGCCCCCCTGAATCCTGAGATACTCCCTGGACCATCTGCTTTAGTTTAGGTTCCTGAGAGCCAGACCTGAGACATGGAGTTGCGTGCAGGTGATTCCAGAAAGAAGGCAGAGGAGGTGTCCAGTAATGTGGGCACTGAGAAGCCAGCTGCCTCTGTGGGCAGCCGGAGCTTAGTCCTGATGGGAGCCAGTGTGGACCATGCCCCTGAGAGTCATCCCCCAGGAGGCGAGGGAGCTGACGTATTTATACCCCGACTCGCATCAGTTACCGGCTGGCGCTCCTGCCTTTCCGGCAGCACAGTGGGCTCTGGAGGCCAGAGGTGTTCCTCGGGGCCAGGGAGACACATGTGCTGGCAGTTAGAAGTCAGAGTGATGTGGCGAGGGTGAGGGAATATGGTGGTGGGGGGACCAGCAGAGGCTGCCACCCTGCCTGAGTGCGTAGTGCCACCATCTCCTAGCTGCCCAACCAGAAACCTGGGGTTCTCCCAGGTGGGCCCCCCTCTCTCACACTGCAAATCCAATCTGTAATTGGGCTCTGCCATTTCACTCCTAATTATCTCTGGACTCCATCTGTTTCTCCCCATCCCCACCCTCTCGTCAAGGCCACTCATCACTCTTGCCTGGATACCTTCAAGTCCCCATTTTGGTCTAAACGCTGTAACCTGTCCCTCGGCACTCATTTTCCCTGACCTCTGCCAGCCTCGCCCAGTCTCCAGCCATGTGTCCCCACCCCAGCACCCTGAACCTCTTATGCGCCCCTCTGTCTCACCTCCAGGTCCTTCATACGTTACCCCCCTCTACCTGGCACCCCCTTTCCTACCCCTACTCCCTCTCCACCCTCTGACTCATTCCTCCTCCAGACCTCAGCTAAGAACTGGCACATACGCTTTATCTCATGTGCCAACTCCAGTTAATTGATGATGGCCCCCGGAGTGGTGTGTTGAGAAGGATTCTGGAGCCCAGTCCAGGCTTGGCAGGAGTGTCGAGGTTGATTAGCAATGTCTGCCCGGGGCGTGGGCAGGGGATGCGGACCAGCACGACCCGCAATTCCTCTGGGTGTGTCAGTAGCTGCCACAGCCCATTCTGCCCCCGTCCCCCAGCACCTCCATAGCACCCTCTACTCTATTGAAATTGTCACATCTATGTCTGTCTAGATAGTGAGTTCAGTGCCTGCCTAGCACGGGTCCTGGCCACAGGTGATCCTCTGCAAATTTTGATAAAGGGTAGGAATTATGAAGAGAAGCATGCACATATTCCACCCCACCCCTCCTCCCCACCCCTCCCCCCAAGTCTCCTTCATCACACAGAATCGGGGCCCCAACGTCCTCAGAACTGGCTGCCAGTGCCCCCTGCCCCGCCCCTTCCCTCTGCATCGTTGTCCTGAGGTGTCTGGGTCACTGTGCCCACAGCCCTGGAAAGCAGATGTGAGCTGATGGCAGGGCCACCTCACCTGGATGCGTTCCTGCCAAAGCTTGTTCCTAATCCCCACAGGCCCAGAGGGCCAGACGGGTGGTCAGAACACCCTTTCTCTTCCCCACCTCTGCTTTTAGCAGTCATCATGCCTGAAGGACAAACCAGGACTGGATGTGGCCATGGGCTAGGAGATGGGGGGTTATGAGCATTTGACTGCCAGGTTCTGTTCTGAGACGTTTATCTCATTTAAGACTTAAACAGCACTGAGGAGATAGCCTATCACTGTTAATTCCTACTTCACCGAAAAGGAACCCCAGGCTCTGAGAAGTGAAGAATGTGTCTCCACAACTAGTGAGTGGGGGAGTCAGGATTCAAATCCGGGCGTGCCTCACCCCAAAGCATGGACTGCAAAGCCCTGTGCTCTGCTCTGGGCGAGGCGGCAGGCCCCTTGGGGCACATGGAG